GGAGATTTTTCATTGGGTTAAAGTTTGGATTGGGAAAGAAAAGGCAAAGCAGGACTTGGTCCAGCACCCCCGGAACTGGGGCCATTGCCTGCCCTCCCTTCCCTCTTGTGGGCCTTCCTCAACCCCACAACGAAGGGACCCAGATGTAGTAACTCACGCTGCCCCCATCACCCCAGCCCTAGCCAGCTCTTCTGCTTGCAGTGGGGAGCTGGGAGCCCAGCACAAATCCTTTGGAGGTGCCTGGGGGAATATCTCCAGCAGAGTGGGGGACTGGCTCCAACATCCGAGAAGATCCTGGCAAATCCAGAGAGAAATGCTGAAGGAATTAATGGGTGGCAATGGATGGCCTCGGGTGCAGCCCCGGCTTGTATTTTCTTTTTGTTTCCTTGCAGATGCACTTTTCTGTGTTCCCATGAAGTTCAACACTGCTCTAGTCAAAAACCCATAAGGTGGGGAGATGGTTCAGATGCTGGAGAACTGGTGGAATATTCCCAGGTGGAATATTATTCCCAGGTGGAATGTTATTATGAATTGTGCACAGCTCTGTGGGATATAGAGAGGAGTGGCTCCAGGTTGGTTTTCCAAGGCTTGGCCTCCTCCGTGGTAGGCTCAGCTGAGCTGGTGGGTCCACATGTGGGGCTTGAACAGTCAAGTGGATGCTCTGACATGGGAAGCTTCACCTGGGTAGAGCTAAGCACACCCTGGCTACTAACCATGGTGGAAAAACTCTCACGTTTATATTATTTTATGCTCTAAAATATACTGCCACTGATTTGTGTACACATCAGTGCCATAAATTAACAAATGGCCTTTTCTTTGGGGTGAGGATTTCTTTAAAAAAATAATTAAGGGAGCAATGAGATACTTATTTTAAAAAAATATTTAATCATTAGGTATGTCTTAAGCTCAGTTCAGCAGAGACTGTATGCTCTCCTTCATCACAGCTTTAGTGCACAGGAACCTCTCGCTCAAAAACCACTGGCGTGCCCCCAGAATACTTCTTACAAGCGTTGCCGTGCTGGTACCCATTCGGGGTGTACGTTCAGCCTGAGGATGCAGGGTGGGAGGAGGGTGTAGTGGCTGGCAGGTCCCCTGGGGTGTCCCCAGCGAGGGGCTGCAGGGGATTTTCATGCTTTTGTTTTGCAAATCTTTGCAGGAAATTGATGTGGGAAGGTGCTTGGGCAGCTGCTCCTCGGGGGATCCCTGCTTGCTTAGGTAAGCACAGCTGCCAGGATCCAGCCGTTCTCAATCCTGGCCGGGCACATCCGCACGCATCCAGTGGCAGGTTTGAGCTGTTCCTGTTCCTCTCAAGTAATGCATCTGTTGCTCCTGGGGCAGGTCCTGGGAGAGTTACACAGGAGCAGATTTTGGGTAGCACCCGCAGCTCACCCCCTGGGCTGTGTCGAACCACCTAAGGACAAAGCTGAAGCAGAGCAGCATTTGCAGTGGGGCTGCAGCACGCTCCTCTGTCGCTTCACGGGATGAAGAGTAACCTGCCGACGATGATGCTGAATTCAGCCTCTTGGGCAGCGGGTTACAGAGTTTGTGGTCCCCCATGCCACAGACACAGATAGGAAGAGGGTCCTGACACCCTCTGGGATATGCCATTCCCACTCCCCACCTGCGATGCTGCCAGGCAGGAGGAGCAGGAGGAGGAGGGGGATGCGCTGGAGTAGGGTTGGTCCAGACAGTTGTTTCAGGCCAGGGGGGCAGCACTTTGTGTCACTTGCAGACATAAAAACATGGCAAATGCAAAGGGAAGCAAATAAAACCACAAAGAAAGAAATAATCCCTGCTTTGCACAGGCAGAGGGGAGTTACACCAGGAGTAAGGAATAGATGCTGCTGGGAGAAAGCTGCCTTCCTTCCCACCCACCCCACCCTGGGGCATCGGCCCTGTCTCCAGGTGATGAAACACAGAGCCCCGCGTCATGGGCGTGAGGGATATACTGGATTTGTCCATCTGCAGGGAGTCACGAGGAGGAGAGAAATGCCTGGTTTGGTCAGAAGCTGCATCACAGTACGGCCTACACGCATTCAGGAGCTGCCGAGGCCGCGTTCGCAGCGTCACTGCCATCCAGCAGTGCAAGTGCAGGGGGTAGCAGGGCTGGGGAGCTGCAGGTGGGGCTCCTGCAAGACCCCTGCCAGACTGTCTGTAGTGTATGTAAATGAGAGAAGGCTATTTTCTTGAATAAAAGCTATTTTAAACAGCACTTGTATAAATGAACCCTCTACAAAATGTTTCGCAGCTTGTACAATAAACATCACAGGCAATTTGCAGCTCCTTGGGGCTCTTCTGTGCAGCTCCTTCCTGCTCCTCTGCCTGAGCATCCCGGGAGGATGTGGAGGGATGCGGCTGTCTGGTATGTGCTGGGGGTCCCATTTGCAAAATGTGGAGCAGGAGTCAGAGAGGGGAGGGAAGGGGGTAAATAGGCATGTTGGGACAGGGATGTCCCCTCTTCAGGCAGCCCCAGGCCCACCAGCCTTATCCTGTAGGAGGTGCCTCTGCAGCTTGTGAGCTGGGAAGAGGAAGGAAAGGATCCAGAGGAGACAGATAGTTTCCTTTATTGATTAACTCAGGCCTGTCATTGCCTCTGTGCCTATTCTGGATGATTAACAGCTCTTTCACCCACCAAGAACTGGGTTAGAATAAATTATAGGCACCAACTGGGCAAGCAGCGTTCAGCTTGTCTCCTGTCGCGTTGGCCTGAGAGTGCTTTGGCCAGGCACCTGCAGGTCTGGGCAGTGCCGCTCGGTCCCCGCCAGCAGCAGGACGGGCGGGCAGTACTGGCTCTGCTCCTGCACCTTCCTCTCTCTGTGCCAAGCTGCTCACAGCCCATACCCATGGGCCTCGTTCAGGGGTGTCCCTGTTCTCTGTAAATTCTAACGGGCTTTTCTAATCCCAATCTTTCTGTCTGGTGCACTGGCAGGTGTTGTATAACGCTCATTTTTTTTCCGTTCAGTCACATGTCATTGAAACTAATGGGAAAGGTAAGAGCCCAAGTGCACTGTGTCACCATGTCCACCTTCACCAACCCAGTTTCTCCATGGCTGGGGAATAAGAGGAGAAGAATTGGCTTTTATCCTGTCATCCACAGTCCATCAGGTTCCTTAATATCAGGCATTCAGGAATTCACAGCAAATGCCTTTTAATCCCCAGGAAGCCAATTAGATATTAAAAAAAAAAGGAAAAACAGCAACTTAATTTCAGTTTGGTGCCTTCTGCTCCTGAACTCTTACCACGGCCCAGCAGCACAGTGGACAGAAGCTGCAGGCCCCGTGCTGCGGGTTCCCCGCTGCAAACCTGCTTGGCACCCTGCTCACCGGCTCCTTTCCGCCGGCACTGCAGTGGGGAGCATCAGGGGAGGCGCAGCCTGGGCTGCCCTGCTGCGTGGTGAGTCCCTGGGCACCCACGCTGCGTGCTTGGCAGGGACAGGGGATGGGGATGCCGGTGTGACGCTGACCCCCCTCCCCGATGTCGCGGGCAGTGGCCATGGCGCTGGGCAGCAGGACAGCTGGGAAGGGGA